CATAGTTTCCAAAAATTCATTTCTGCCAGCCAAAAGTAACAAACTCTTTTTCTCAACTAAAATTTTATAATTTCTAAAGATGAATTCAACTGGTTTATCTTATATATTATATCTATATATATTTACGAAATACAGATGAACTCAAGTGTCTTGCCAAAGATGGCAATCTACAGCGCAAACGGCAACGAAAAGGTGTGCACGAAAAAGTTGAAGAAACTCTTAAGCATTGGTTTGACCAAAATAGGGAAAAGGGTGCAGTGATTTCAAGTCTGATTTTATTACATACAACGCTTTTATCAACTTGCAATGTTGTATGTCCAGACCACCATTTTTATACTATAAATATAGCAAAGGTATTTATGCCAAACCTAGTCTAGATATCAACCTCGTCGTAGGTATCATATCAAAGACATACAATTAGAAAAACTCTAGAGATAGATGTCGCCTCACCAGAAGAAGTTAAAAATATGCACTACATACGCTACAGCGGAAATGGACGACACGCCATTTCTTTAAATAAAATTAATTGCTGCTATATGTATGTATGTATGTGCATATGTATTGTATTGTATTTTCTTTATTTCTCAATATATCTTCACAACTTTACTAAATATTACATAAATACGTATGCTAAAGCCTAAATGAGAAATAGTTAATGGCATCTGATGTTCATTGAAAGAACAGAAGTGATGCCATTTCATTCATATTGTATTATAAAAATGCTGTGGGACGCATAAAGATAATACTTATTTGTACAAATTATAATACACGCATTTGTGATAAATAAGTAGAATATTACATAAGAAAAGTGATGTGTAATTTAAATTCTTAAACCAATATTAGTATATTAGTAAGAGCAACCAAATGAAATTATGTAATAGGTCGAAGCAGAATCTCAATATCTTCATGATTGAAACCAAAAAGCCACAATTTTACTTCTTTTTGAAATACAGGTAAGTTATCAAAACAAATTCTGTGGGACTGAGATATATTATTTTCTACTTTTTAATCCATTTATAAAAGCATATATCATAGCATAAAAATGCTAAGCATTGCAACTCTGGTTGACATTTCTATCAGCTGATTAAAAAAGTTTTACCATGACAGTTTAATAAAGGTCGCTCACAATCCATGGCATATTTCTGCAACTGCATAAATTTATCAGCTCTCATGCACCGAATCACGAATAGCCCTACGGATAATGAATGCAACAGTAATTCTGACGTTGAAGAAAATCATAATTTTACTCAACTTGATGACGTTCCAATTTTTTATGAAGCGCTTTGCGCGTTAAATACTATTCAGCGTTTTTGTGCATTTAAAGCAGTGCCCGCCAAACAGAGAAGTCTTAAAATGAGAATGTATTAGTTATGAAACAAAAAATGAGAATGTGTTGGTGGTAATGCACGGAAAAAAATTCTGTGTTGTATTTATATAAAAACTTTTTAATGTTTTTTTCCCGTTTTTTCATTGTGCGCTATTTTTTTAGATCTAAACAACATAGAAACATATAATGAAAGTTAACGGCCCTAAGAAAGGAAAAAGTTGGTAAAATTTTGTATGTATTGTACAAAATTATTATTATTTCTTTATAATTTAAGTGTGGATTTCTGAGCAAAAAAGATAACGTGCTTCGAGCACTCTGAATATTAAAAGAAAATTTCGTTGATTTCAAGTAGAAATAAAATAAAAACATATATATCTAATATATATTTATTTTAAAATTAGGTAAAACTTGATATTTAAGAACAATTTGAAATAACGATTAAACCAAAAGATAAATAACAAAACATATTGTATGTTTTAATTGAGGACTAGTCTGGTATTAAAAAAAAATACATAATTCACGAAAAATTGTATTATAAAATTTTTCAATGAATATTCATTCATTCCGCTCAGTGTACCTACTTTATTCAACAATAATGCGTCATGAACCTGCTTCGCCTATTGTTTGCATTCAACTGAATAAAATTTGTTGCTCTTCTACTCTTTCTGTTGACGTTCGAATTGTGTACGCATGAACGAAAGACACAAGATCGCGCCTTAAGGAAAGAAAGAAAAAAGTTATTTTCTAGCTGTTGAAATCTCGACGCCATCTTTGTTGTAAGAAGTAAACAACGAAGAGAACAAAAAAAAACGCGTAATTGTTGAACGCATGAATAATCATTTTTATTATGCAAATTCTCCTATAAATCATGTCGTTGTGTTAAATTATTCTTTACCTTATGTGTGCTACCGTTGTCACAAGCGAAAATTAAGAAAATTGCAGTAAAAAGCCACCACCAATATATAAACAACGAACAAATGTAAACAAACGGCTTATGTCAAAATCGCCCTACTTTTTTCATAAGTGCGTTTATAACGGGCCACTCTTCGGCTGTCGTGATCTTGTCTTTTTGGTTCATGTTGTGTACGTGTAAGAAGCCGATTGTGTACATGTGACAGGCCGAATATAGTTCGTTTCCCAGGAAAGTGTTTGGCGGGCACTGATTTAAAGTCGTTGAATCTGCAGACATGTTGTACAGTATTGAAAAGCAATTATTGCAGCTATCTCTACAAACCTCTAGCCAGAGAAAAGTTACTGATTATTTTAAGTAATCTCTAATTTTGTGAGTTTAAGGAAACATAAAAAATATGCTTTGCATTTTATGTTGGTCTATGTGTTGTTATGTGTGTTTTTTCGAATTATGAATTGTTTTTTCGTTTCCTTTTTAATAAACGTGATGATTAATAAAACTTCGATTACAGCAATTTCTACGTGACAAGTGCCCTTTATATTTTCTTAATTTATAAAGATTCGGATACCTGCCTTTATGAGGTAGTTAAGAAAATTCGCTTAAGTACATTTTTCGCTTAAGTACCCAAGTTTTTTTTGCAAACAAGATTGGGCAGCTAAGCAAAATATACTGTACTGAAGATTATTCACTCAGAATTGATATTTACAAACATTTTTAGACGAAAAATAACAATATTATACATTTTTGGAAAATAGGCGTAGCTACGCCCACTTATGGTTACATGTGTATATCTTGGTAACCGCTGTACCAATTTCTTCCAAGGCACAGTTGTTGGCCTTCGTACAGCATACCAAAAGGTCGAAAATTTTTAAAATCGGACAATAACCACGCCCACAGTCCACAGGGTAATTTAGAGAAATACGAAATCTTCGATAAATCAGTAAATATTAAAGCTAATTTATTCAAAATTGACGTTTGCAACAATTCTATACCAAGAAATACGTTTATGGTAAAATTTTGGAAAATGGGCGTGGCACCGCCAACTTATGATCACATATATGTATGTATATCGGTAACCATTCTACCAATTTGTACCAAACTCGGTATGGTTATTGTGCTTGCCACATAAAAGCAAAGCGTTGAAAATTATTGAAATCGGACTAAAATTACGGCCGCTTTTCATATAGCGGTAAATTTCAGAAATACTTGAAACTTCAATATTTCGAAATTTAAGGACGCTAATTTACTCAAAATTGATACACCCCGGCTTACCATCTAACGGCAGCTTTCGGAAAGGTGAAAAAACATTTATTTAATACTTGCGCCTAGTATTTAATGTTCGGCTCCGCCCGAACTTAGACTTTCTTACTTGTTCTTCTTATTCTACTGAGCTAAGGCAGTGTCAAATCGGGCTGTCACAACTGATACCACCTTGTATTATTGCATCATGGTCCACATAGAACTTTGGCGTTGCGTCGCTACAACAGCTGACTATGAATACATGGACACATAGCCAAAATTCGACAACGCTCACGCCAACACAAAGCAAAAAGATGGCCAACACTCAAATTTTCTCGTGCGTTGCTCGTCAGCTGTTGCAAATAAATAAAATTATGTGAAATAGTTTTCTTTTTTAATCAAGTGCGGGCAAGAAACATCGTTTTTAATGCAATTATTGATATGAAATATTAATTTATCTGTGGTTAGTATGTTAATGGTATGTTAGTGGCCCAAGCATTCGCTGCTAAGCGTTCATTGTAGCAAGCATACTCTAAACGTGCGTTCTGTCACACCAACGCCAACGCCAACGCGAAAGTTATATGTAGGGATGCAAACGATGCATCGGTGTTTTCAAAAATATCGATGTTAACATAGATGTTTCGCTGCATGATGCATCGTCGATACATCCACTAGAAAAGTGAAAAACATCGACATCGTTCACTCACTCCGTTCGTATTACGCCGAACGACCAGTGGCAAGCGAGCGCTTGTTCTCGGAAGCTGGTGCAACCATCATTCAGGATAGGAGTAGGCTTTTGGTGGCTAGATTATCAAAGCTTTTCTGAACTCATTTCAAAATGTTTATTCACATTTAAATAAATAAGATTTACATATTTAAGATAGATCATAATTATAGCAACATACTTATACTTGTATTGAAATATGCTGCTTGAAGGAAGTTTTTATATGTACATTAGACTGCATCACTCCCCATACAAAAAAAATCGGTACTTTTTTCCATTGGAATTATAAAATCTATTATATTTTAAGACGTCCACCAAAAATATTTCGGAAAAATATTAAGATTTAAGCGAGCTGGACCGATTTGAAAATACCTCCATAAATGAAGTTTTTTATGAATAAAAATAGTTTCTTAAAGTACTTTTTGAAAAAAGTCCCCGCAGATGACATAACAACCAATTTTCATCTAAATGTTTTCTAAAAATTCTGATAAAAAATTTCAAAATTAAGATAAAAATATGTTCAATTTTTCAAAGTTTTGTATAAAGTTATGGTTTGCAGCGGATATGTGAATCTAGCTCTTTCGAGTTTAAAAAATATTTCAGGCTACATTTTATTTCTTGTAGTAGATGTGATATTAAAACATCGGTAAAACATCGATGTATCGTTTTTATAACCGATGTTTCTTAACATCGATGTTTGTTGCGGGAACATCGATTTTTTTAAACATCGATGTTTTTAAGAGCGATGTTGCATCCCTGGTTCTATGTCGACCGGCCTTAAGTTACTTAGTTATGTATTCATAATTTGGGCCGAAATCCCGGCGGTACTGCAATACCGGGCCAACTTGCGGCAGAGGTGGAGCAAGCCCCTAAAAACACTCCGCCCATTTCCAAAAATCAGTTTAACATTTGTTGTCCTCCGATGGAGGATCTATCAGATGTTAAGCTGATAAGAACAGATACTACACTTTGATCTTAGCCATAAGGCCGAGACATGATACAATAAAAACAGGTAGAAGCCAATTTGACGTCAAACCTACAAAAGTCAAAGTTTTCGGGAGAGTAAAAATAAAAATGAGTGTGTGTAAGGAAAAATAAAAAATTACATTTCACTGGTTGACGTTTGTAAGTAAATTTGCTTTTTTTTAATTTTCGAGTAGTTTTTCACTAAATAATAGTTGGTACATTAACTAAATAATGGTTGCGAATGAGCAATTAATATCAGCACTTGTGCTGGAATATTTAAAGAAACGGGACAAGAACTTAGCTAAAGTGTTTCAACAAAAAACAAAAGCGAGTATAGTCGGAAAAGGTTTTCCGAAATTGGAGCAGATAATAGAAAGTTATCTACAAAGTAATAAAAAGAAGGTGCCTGTTATCAAGCCAGCTGGCGAAAGCTCCAGTGACGAAGATAGTTCGGATGAAGAACAAGCACCGGTTGTACAAAATAAAAAACCAACAGTTGCATTAACAAATGGTAAAACAAATGCAGTGAAACCTAAAGCGAAAGAATCTAGCTCTGATGATAATTCGAAAGAACAAAGCGCAGCACCAGTAGTTAAGAAAACTCAAGCAAAGAAAGACGAGTCTTCAAGCGAGGACAGTTCGGAGGATGAAAAGCCTGCACCCAAAGCTGTAGCAACCAAACCGGCTCCACAAAAAGCCGCACTTCAACTTCATCAAGTGATGATAGCTCTGACGAAGAACCAGAAGTTAAAACACCAGCCAAACCAGCTAATGTTAAGGTACCACAGAAGCAAAAGCAAGAATCAAGTAGTGAAGAAGATAGTAGCTAGAAAGATTCAAAGCCTGTCCCCAAAATACCTTTGTACAAACAGATATCATATCTACTATGTATCTTTCGAAAGAAATTTTCTAAATTTTCCATAAAAAAATTTTAAAAGGATCATACGTATGAAAAGGAACAAAATGAAGATGAAAATCTTATAAACTTGACGAGGATTTTAAGATTTTTAAATTTCCTATTCACATATAGAAAAAGGGAAGGCGAAACGATTAAAATGAAAATATTCAAAATTATGTTGATGAAACAAATTTGGAAATCATTTTGTTCGAGAAAAGAATAATCCGGAAATACTTTTCCACGAAATTGTAAAGGATTTTTTTTAATTATGGGAATTTTTTTTGGGTGAGAACCGTTACATTAAACGTCGAATGGAGGAAGATCAATATATTTTTTGCAGAAATACATACAGATATCATATATGTACCTTTCGAAAGAAAATTTCTAAATTTTCCATAAAAAAATTGTAAAAGGATCATACCATGATACAAAAAAGAAGGTAGTTTCAATAAACAACTTTTTGATTAAAAAGGAGATTTTTGACAATTGCTCAATTGTGAAAAATTCGAAGCGGCGTTACCCAATTGTAAGTTTTTTGGTCTGGGAGATTTTATATCCTAAATTTGGGATTATAAAGAAAATAGTTGTATTAATATATACCTTTTAAAAATAATCAATCTCTTATCTTAAAAACGTTTAAATTTTACATTAAATTCGATAAAAACTTGCCAAATCTTTATTTAAGTATTAATGCAATTTTAGTGAACATATTTTATGCGCACGTTGTGAATAACAACCATTCGCCAATAGAGGTCCAAATATCTTCGGTCGAATTGTCCAAAAAATTAATCAACCCGTTGCAAAAGGAGTGTTTCCAAGTAAAAATATTTTATATTTTTTTCAAAGCCATATGCTGCAGTTTAAATAAGAAGGCCGCTGCGCCAAGGAAAGATTTATCATGAACGGCGAATGACTCTCCAATAGTCATGGTGGGCATCTGGATCGACTATATTGAAATTTGTTTCATCACTGAAAATACCATTTTTCAATTCTTTCTACAAAATTTGTGTTTTTGTAAAATGCCAAAAGCGCCTTTTCGTGCCATAGAGTCGGCTGTAGTTTAACAATCAATTTCTTTCGTTTCTCGTTTCAAGTTCGTGTTCATGATACAAAAAAGAAGGTAGTTTCAATAAACAACTTTTTGATTAAAAAGGAGATTTTTGACAATTGCTCAATTGTGAAAAATTCGAAGCGGCGTAAACGTTTAAATTTTACATTAAATTCGATAAAAACTTGCCAAATCTTTATTTAAGTATTAATGCAATTTTAGTGAACATATTTTAAAATTTTTTTGTGTCCTAATGTACTTTTTCATGAAATTGTAAAGGATTTTTTTAATTAAGGGAATTTTTTTTTGGCCTAGAACCGTCAACGTCAAATGAAGGAAGATCAATATATTTTTTACAGAAATACATACAGATATCATATGTGTGTATCTTTCGAAAGAAAATTTCTAAATTTCCCATTAAAAAATTTAAAAAGGATCATACATATGATTTGTCCTTTTCATATCTTAAGGGATTTTTTTAAAATATGTTCTTACGAGGATTCTAAGATTTTAAATTTTTTATTCACATGTAGAAAAAGGGGAGGCGAAACGATTAAAACAAAAATATTAAAATTATGTTGATGAAAAAAATTTGGAAATCATTTTGTTTGAGAAAGGAATAATCCGGAAATACTTTTCCACGAAATTGTAAAGGATTTTTTTAACTATGGGAATATTTTTTCGGGTGAAAATCGTTACTTTAAACGTCAAATGGAGGAAGACCAAAAAAAAGTTTTGTTTGTTTGTTATTTGTAAAAGTTTTTTTAAATAAATACATACATACAGATATCACAGCTATGTATGTTCATATCTCTAGAAAGAAAATCTCTAAATTTTCTATAAAAAAAAAATTTAAAAGGATCATATGAAAAAGGACAAAAGGAAGATGAAAAAGAAGGATTTTCTGCCATAAAACAAAACAACCACATCGGCTAAGCGCTGAGCAGCAACGGAGAATATTTTGAAATAGCGCCAATATTTATAAAAAAAATTTAGTGCAAAGCCTACTAGTGAGTGCTTTTAATTTTTTTACCTTCTAGCTTTGAACGAAAGGTGTGAAAAAAATTAGGTCGCGGTAGCTAAAAATCTAAAATTTTATAAAAAGAGATTTTCGGAGCAAAGGCTACTAGGTTTTGGAAAAATTCAAAATTTTCGAAAAAAAAAAAATGTTTAAAGGGGTGCGAAAAATTTGCGTTATTTTTCTTGTTGTACATTAAGGTGTATAAACGTAAAATTAAATGAAAACAAAACTCGAAGAATAATTTTTTACGTACACATTTCAATTTTAGGGAATACAAATTTTAAATATTTAAAGCTGTTTTGTTTCAGTTTGAGAGAATACTATACGAAACATTTTTTTTTCACATATAAAATACATGGCAAACTTGGAGCACTTTGAACGACCTCTAAATATTTTGTGATTAAAAAAAAACCAAGGGATATTTTTATGATATGGAATAATCGTGTGAAAAATTTCGACTTTACTTTCAATGGACCACCGTAATGTACTATGTAGTACAACTTCAGCAAATATGTAATTAGCTAAGGTAATTTAGAGTAAAAAGCTATAACAATAACGCTGAATGTATGATTTTTTAATCAGTTTTTAAACAAAACGTGTGCGAAATTGTAAACAAACTGACGCTGTACACAAAAATGCATACAAGCACGGTATGGATGGATAATACGGTTGACAAACGGGCTCGATTATTTGCATAAACAGCCTTTATTTGCTTTGACTCATGCATTTTCCTCTTTAAAATGTGCATAAAGCAGTGTTTGCATTATTCAACTTTGCGTTCAACTCAACGCAGGGTTGCACGAAAAAAAAGTTGAATGGCTAAATGTTGGCTGGCGACCAACTTTGTTGAAAGCGATTAGTTGAAAGGCCATTCAACCAAAAGTTGAATGCAAAGTTGAACAATGCAAACACCTTTTTATGGCGAATATTTTGATATTTTTTCATATTTTGATATTTTTAGCCATTCAACTTTTTTGCCTGCGCTGAGTTGAACGCAAAGTTGAACAATGCCAACACACTTTAAGCAGCCGAACAAATGCACGAAATTTTCAGGAATTAACTCGGATCCGGGCAGTTTTAGTTGACAACACTGGTAAAAACGGCCAGCTGTTGTCTTTTGTTCAAGTAAGTAAACAAAGCGCGCGAGATCCGCGTCCGCGGTAGCCGAGTGGTAAGAGTTACGGGCTACAACCGGGTAGATGCCAGGTTCGATCCTCGGTTGGAGCGATTACGAAAATTTGTTTTTGTTTTTATTATTTAATTTATATATTTTTTTATTTTATTTGATTTATATATTTAATTTTACTTTATTCTGTTTTCATTTGCTTTATTTTATATCACATTTTTTATTTTACTATTAGTTAATTTAAATTTTTAGAGTTGAATTTTAATAAAAAGCCAACAACAACTAACTGAATGCAACGTAAAAAAATATGGAACTTATAAAAAAAGAATGAAAACGAAATAAATGAAAATTCAATTGGCCGTGGGACTCGAACCCACGACCTTGGGGCTAGTTTATCCACATAACTGCCGTCTGTTAGGTCAAAATTATTATGTGCATATGTATGCCAGATTATATGCATAAGCTTTGCCGTCTGTCACAGCTTTAAGCAAGTGAATAACAAACACACATATGATATGTGCATATATGAACAGTTTTGAGTCCAACATTAGCAATTCTGGGAGAATATTTTTTCCGATTCTTGAATGAGGTATTGTTATTTAGTTATTTGATTATGTTTTTATTTTGTTATTATAAAAATTTATAAAAGCATTTTTTCTTAAAATGAAATTAGTATATTCAGGATTTAATCGGCAAAGAATAGGCCATTGCTTCGGCCGATTAAATCCTGAATTAAATTTATTTCAAAAACAAATGCTTTTATAAACTTTTATAATAACAAAAGAAAAACATAATCAAATAACTAAATAACATAACCTCATTCAAGAATCGGCCATAAACGGCCGATGCCGATTCTTTTGGCCTATACTAGCCCCGGCATCGGCCGGAAAGTTCCGCAAGCGAATAACAAAATTTTGCCAATTTTATCATTTTAGCCAAA